TATAAAAGGGGATAATTTAGTGCATATTCAGTTATACTATCATTAAAAACTAATTGATGTGATAGGATGGCCAAAACTGACTAATACGCAGGTGCAGATAATTCTCTCAATTAATGACACATACCACAGCATTTGTAACCATATTTCGTTGTAAATTAGCTAACCAAAGTACTTTGGCGAGATCAGGATTTGATAAATAACTCATATTTTCTTCTAAATATTTTATAATTTCTTATACAAAGTTTAATTAATCTTTGTTACTTACCGTTGATAAAAATCGATTGTGGAGACAAAAACAAAAGATAAATAGAATAATGATTGATGTGTCGCTGCTAATAATATTAATGATTAGAGATTACTATACATATAGGTGTATATTTATATTTGTTCATTTATTATTAATTTAATAACTAGTACGATCCGATAGAGAAGGTTGTTTTCAATGGCAACAATAGACAAGGGTTTTTGATAATAAACAAATTAAACGTTGAGAACGTCCAACGTGAATCGATTCTAGCTAACAGACACTACCAACAGCTGTGGAAATCATTTAGAGAGAGAAAGATAAGAAAAAGTTCACTTTTAGACTACTTGACAACAATATAATTTAATTACTACAAAAGCTCTTTCTCTCCAAGTCAAGAGAAAAGCAAAAAAAACCACGCACTCACACACTTGGCGGTAACAAAACGAAGCACTGGAATGTTCTAGCACGTTATTAGGTTTTTTTTGTGTTTTCCAGTCTTCAGTTTTAACAGCTCTTCTTTTCTATAATTTAATTTTTAAGATAAAGATCATCGCAAATCTGAAACAAGAGGAAGACACCCTGTTTTAACAAATGAGTGTATACAAGTGAAACCTACCGCTATATACAAAAGTGTCGGCGTAAGACACGAGGCTATACAAATGTGATAGACCATAAAAAAGTATGATTTTTAGCGAAAACCACCGGCCTCTAGCTCATTCGAGAGCCAAAAAATCTTCAGTTTATTTTTAAAGCAAAATAGCTGTATTATCGTCATTTAGGTAAATCCATCTGAAGCATATCCCACTTTACAAAATTTTTAGCACAAACCGTAAGACCAACCTCCTTTTGTAGAGTTCATCGAGTTGACTGATGACTGAAGTAGAGGCTCTACAAAATGTACATATGTGAAATTCCTGTTTTCAGTTTCGAATCGAGTAGTTTCCGGCACTTATCGTATTTTTAACGCCAATTTTGGACGGTAGATTCTAGAAATGTCGGCAATATGTCATTTTGTTCAGAATTGAACACTCTGTCCAACTATGTGATTAGAAAAGTTTTTAGATAAACTTTAACTTTAAAAGGTCTTCTAGAAAACTCGGATCTTCAAGGTCCTTTATCTCAAAACTCCTATATCGACCAAATTGTTTTTTCTTTACATATATAGTATTTGCAATGCTCTTTTATTTAAAACCGTTCGCGTTAGTTTTGAAATGGAATGATTCCCCCTGTGAGCTTCACATGATGGGTCAAAATAGCTGAGAAAAGGTAAAACGCCACTACTTTTGCTGGGAGAGTAAAATGTCAATAACTTTTTTTCCACAACAGTTACAGATCTATGGTTTTCACCAATAAATTCAGCGCAGCACGCGCTACAAAACACATGCTATCTCGCCGCTGGCGCCGGCGGTCCATGTAACGGTGGTATGTTTCACGTGGATTCAGTCAAATATAACAACAGAAAATCAGAAAAAGTATCATTTTGAAAATATTTTAGGAAAACCGACGTTTGGAGAGAAATTTTGAAATGAAAATTACTTTCCGCACCAGCTTTTTTCTTCTCTTTTGCTTGTTACCTATTCAGAACTGAATATCCTTATCAGTGCTTCGAGGGCTTACTAGTAACCATATGACGTTGAGGACTTACTGTTACTTGATAGTAACATCTTTCTACTTACTGTTCTAAAATATTTATGATAGTCAAAGTTATCGAACCCTTTTCTATTCTGAATTTTTTCAGAGTTTATAGATCTCTATTATTTACATGAAGCCCTTTCTCTAATAAGTTGATTCATAGCTGAAAAATCTAACCGGAATCAGCTCTGAAATTTCGAAAATTGTCTTTTTCAAAAAATTCAGTTCTGATTTCGTCACCAGATTCACATGAATGAGCTACTCAGAATTTTCATCTCTGAATCAGAAGATACATTGGCATTTAGAAACTTCGTTTTTTGGCCATTATATGTGCGGCAAAGCATTCCGCAGATACAATAAAATAATCCCTACCGAACGTTATCGTTTGGTTTTTTATCTGACAAATACAGAACTTAAAGCCGCGACGTTTTTCGACCCCTAAAACTACAGAAATCTGCCTTCCTCTATATCTTTCTATTACTCAACTTTTTGAAAGAACAATTAAATAAGGTTTGTAGAGAATATTTTGGACTTTCTTTTGATAAAAGTAAAGTTTCGAAAAATCAGTCGTCTCAGAAAAAGTTCATTTTAGTCTTGCAACGCTGTGCTACTGATCTTTCAACATTTACTTTCGTTTCTAAAGTGTCAAAGACAATCTAATTTCGACAGATTCCTGTGGTATCAACCGGAATTAACCTATATGATCAAAAATCGAATTATAAAATTTGAATGCACTAAGGCACACCAAAATTTCTCAAAAGTTGATTAGCAAAAACTCGTTTGCTCTACGAAACATTTTTTTAAACATTTAATATGCGAAATAAATAATGCATGTTATAGAGAATTTAATTCTCTACTGAATGGCATGGCTTTTAATTTTTTAGCAGAAGCTGAGTAGTTTAGGAAGTTGCAAATTAAAGTTTAAAAAAATGAAAACTGAATTTTTCGAATTGAACGCTCATTGTTTGTGAATTCCACAGTAAATATTCGTGATATTTGATCAGCGTGAAAAACTGCATCTATTGATGTATTTTGAGGCTTACCCTAGTGAATGTACTTGAGATCAAGTACTTGGCTACTTACAAATTTTTTAAAGTGCTTGGTTAAGCATTTGTCAAGCATTTTAAGATTTAATACGTGCAAAAGACCTTGGAAGAACTGCGAATACTTGCATATATTTCGCAAATGCTTACCAGATTACCTGCCCAATACTTGATCAAGTACTTGGTGTCAGGTACATTCACTAGGATAGTAGAGAAAAAAATCTCTAAGAAATTTCGATATGAAGGGGATCGTTACGTGCTCAAACCGAAAAGCATGAACTTAACGCGGTGCATATCGTCTGCAGAAAAAAACTTGAGAAATAAGTGGTTCACTGAATGCAAAATAAAATATAGACAGACAAATTCTCAGCCTTAGTGTTGTGAAACTTAAAGTAGAAATGTAGCGCTGTGTCTGTGAACGTGCGTCGCAACCTAGATGTCGTTCGAATACATTGTGGTTGCGCAATATATGAGCAACGCGACAGATTATTGCTGGAATAAAGAACAGTAATGATCGTCTTTCAGAACTGAATTATATGGATATACAATCCATACAAACTCTTCTGTTGCGAAGGCAGACTAATACAAGAAACTAAATGGCAGCGCTTTGTATGAAATTGAAAGAAAAAAATGGCCGATTGTATAATATTGTCACTTTCATTTATTACGTTTTGATGTGATATTATCGTCACTGTTAAATTTGGATTTTAATTCGTTATTATCCAGCGGCTTATATCGTACGTTGTAATCACCTTCGTATCATTGATTTATCAAAACTTCAATTTGTGACATTTTGTCAGTTTTTTACTATATTTTTTCCTTTTGCTAACAAAAACAGATTACCGTTCCATTTTATTGTTGATCATGTCCTGATTATGATCATCAAACACAGAGAGTCGTCCGGAGGATATATTTCCTACAAGTTTCTTAGATTCATTAGTTGGGTGTGTGGGACACAAAAAAGCAGGCACATTTGATTTAAATTTCCAATCTTTGAAAATTTTGTTCATACTATATGTCTTCCAACAGCATTTACAACGAAAAAAAACTTTTAGATATCATATATATTTGTGTGCATACAAAACATGGCAACAGCTTCAAACGACGCCGACAAACTTTCACTTGGTTTGGATGATATCATACGTTTGGATCGAACAAGTGGACCAAGACGGCGAGGTGGAGCATCGGGTGGCAATCGTGGCTTTCGTGGTGGATTTAGAGGACGCGGTGGATTTAATCGTGGATCATTTAATGGATTTAGAAGAGGATCAGGAATGGTGAGTGTAATGTTTTTATTATTCCTTCTTCGCTGAAAACAGCATTGTCATGACGAATTAATCGTTTATTTTTTAAAGCTAGAAAGTTTCTCGTAAGATGATATCAAATCCATTTTCTCTTTAGCAACGATCGAGTGGCACACCTCAAGGTCGCTGGCAACATGATTTATATGAAGAAAATGAATCTTACAATAAAGTTCGTCCTCAACGACAATCCGGTGGTGCAAACGTAACAGCCAAATTGCTTATATCGAATCTTGACTATGGAGTAACAACAAATGACATACAAGTAAATATACTTTTATTAATTCATGTAAATTCGTGTTTCATATAAACGGGTGACATTTTCACCCATTTATGTGTGTCATCATTCATCTAAGTAGATGATTTCCCTTTGTTCAAATATGTTACCCAGATACATGTGAACAGAACTGTACTCTCAAATATGTGATTTGTCACCCACTTATTAGGATCATATTCCACTAACTTGTATACTCAGATGGATGATGACACACATAAATGGGCGAAAATGTCACCCATTTATATAGAACACGAATTTACAGTGTTGTTTTGTTAGAAAACTGCTGAAGCACATAGTATTGTTGTAATTGAGTGTGAAAGCAATACAGTGAGCAATGTTTCAAACTACATGTGTTATCAAATTGTCGAAAGAAATCTGTTGGTTATTACAATCAATTTTTTCTGTTATATTTTAGGAATTATTTGAAGATGTGGGTCCCATCAGAACAGCTCGAGTACAATATGACAAAAGTGGAAGATCACTAGGAACAGCTGAGGTGGTATTTGAAAGACGACCAGATGCAATCACGGCACAGCAAAAATATAACACATTAAACCTAGATGGTATGGATATTCATTGCTTTTTCTAATGAAAAATGCTTTATTTTTATTTATTACAAATAACTATTAGTTTTTAAACAATTTATACATCCCGTAGAAAAACGGTTTTTGTTGTGTTTTTGAGCAACAATATTGAAAATCCCACAGTTTTTAGGAATGTTTTCATATTAAGCAAACAAGAGCCGTTTGTTATTTTCGCTAGAAATTACCGAACAAATAGTGTAACGGATCTTGATGAAAGTTCAGAAAAAAAGGCCTATCTAATCGTCGTGAGTTATGGTTTCTTTAAGCCTACAAAAACAATTTTGACGTTCCGTCAGCAAGTTTTTTAAAGAAGAACTATTAAGACGTTTCGAACAGTATAGTTAATTCATTGGTTAGCGAAGGACAGGCATTTCTGAGCTTTGTTATTAAGAAAGAATGATTTATCTCTTCTTTATTTGAGGTCGCCCAATGGATATTCGTCTTGTGGGATTTGAAGATAATCTAAATTCCAAACCTCAACAAAATCGAAATTCTTCTTATAATAATGGAACTGATTCAACACAATCTTATCGAAGAGGAGGTGGAAATCGTACAGGCAATAACGGTAATTCAAATGGATTTGGTCGTGTTATGCGTCGAACAAATGCGCAAAATGGTGGAGGTGGAGGACGTGGACGACAACAAAATGGAGTAGCTCAACGAAATAATAACAATGATCAGTCATCAGGAATAACAGCCGAAGATTTAGATGCCGATTTAGATGCCTACCGTCAAGAAAATAAAAAGAAATAAACTCATCTGTTGCTCATTGAGAATGTTTATGTATTCGGTCATCCGTACATATATACGACGTGTGTGATAGACATATTAAAAGTCAAGAAAGGCATGTTTATCTTTTTCCTTCGTTTGTTTTGTTTTCTATTTTTTTCGTTCTATACTGTTTCTGTATAGATTCTACCTGCTTCTGTTAGAAAATTAACCAGTTTTGTGTATAAACAAAACTTTTGTTGTTCAAAAGGAAAATTGCTTTCATTGTGTTTTCTATTATATATTTTTTTCTGTGTTTGTCTACCGGTCTCTTTAATTCTTCTTTTTGTGTATATTCATGACCTTTCCGGTAAAAACACAAAATAATTTTTGTTTTGAATATAATCAACAACAAAAAGTGGAATGGTTAAACCCTTCCTCCAGTGATACTTTCTTATTTGTTTTTTGCCAGAAAATAGACCTACTTTACTTGAGATCTTAACTGAAAAATCATAAGCAATTTGATATTTTGACTGTTGTAATCTCCGGAAGCAGACGAGCACTTTTAACTTGTGAATTTGCCTGAGATGGCGTGATGTGTGAGTTTTTCTGGTAGTTATATTGTCACGTTTTATCAACCCTAATTTTATCTATATATTTAGTCTGCATGTTTACTTTTGTTGAACAGGTTAAAGTGACTATTTGACACAACTTTAGTCAAAATACCAAACTGTTTCATATGTCATTTCAATTTAAATCTCTAGCAGAGTGGTACTTTCCTTGTCATTAACCAAAGTTATGATATAAACATGTATCTGTTTTTTTTTTGAAAAGCAACTACGTATATTCAGAGCCTGTAAAACAAAACTGAAGCAGCTTTTGTTCAGATTTTTGCGTTTTTGGCTGTCTGTTGTTTGTCTTTTCTCACGTAATAATGAACATTTGTTTTTTTCTTGTTTTATATTGTTGGTAATGTACAAAAGAAGAATAAGAAAGAGCGTGGATTTCAAAACGAAAATTTCGAAGAAAAAGTAAAATGACAAATAAATAAAAATATTTTAAACGCCAAGCAGTCAGACAACTTGAATAAGAAAAACTAGGGTGGATGCGAGCAATAAAGTTAAACTTTTGGATAAGAATTATGCAAGCTCGGAAGAATTTCATCTACAAGCAGCGTTTTTGATAATCTAGAAAACGTTATTCTTAGACAGGTACAAGATTCTTAACTTCATATTATTAAATCGTTTAAAAGTACAGTCATTCTCCCAATATACTGCTTTCTGTCCATAATAACTACATTCTACTCTTATTCAAAGGCAAAACTAGTTTCAAGTGACACAGTCACTTATCTATGTATAAGGCGCTGTTACTCTTATTATCGATTACAAAAATCATACAATTGCAAGCTATAAACGAATTTGTATTTATACTCAAATTTTTACCCATTATACAAAAAACTACATACAAATGACAAAGTTGTTTAAAACTTTAAATGCTATCATATGCAAAAATGCTCGTTTTTCTACATGTCCATTAATGTTTCATCTTCACTATATGCTTCTTTAGTCTAAAAATGATAAAATAAATTAATTGATCTACCCATGAGATTTTCTCCTTACTGGTGGCGCAAATTTAAATTGAATTTCTCCATTTGTACTTTTTAAAACACCCAGAATTGACGATGATGGATAATTTTTATAGACTTGATTCGTGTTTGAACTGATAAATTTAAATGGCGTAGGAACTAAACTTTCATTATTTTGAACTAAAATATAAAATACGAAAAAATAATTTGTGCCGTGCTACCACAGAGTACTCTTACAATGATCATAAACTTGTAGTATAAATGACAATTCGACATCATTTGGCACCTTTTCTGTCCAACTAAATTTGTTTTCAAGTTGATAAAACAAGTGTTCTAAAGTTTCAATCGATGTTGAGGTCAAACGACCCACTTGTTTTTCATAATCATAAACAAATTCATATGAATCATAAATCTGAAGCATGAATAACGAATATATAAATTCAATCATTAGCATGTAAACCGTTCAACATTATTTCTCGCATTGTGTGTTATCCTTGTTAACTTGTTTCACCTCATAACTAAAACTCTCAGTCATAAATCCGCCCATTTTGATCATTTATTAGTGAAATCGATTCTATCTGGAGAACATTATGTCTACATCTATAACTGTGTTATTGAATATATTATAGCCACAAAATGTATTATATATTAACAAAAGGATTTCTTAAGTAAAGATATTTATCCGTGAATTTATTATTTCATATACACTCAGGACATAGTACTAAGACTTAGTAATGCAACACAGGAGATTTCTTTGGAGCATATCTTCCTCATCTTTCCATATGTACATCGAAAGAGGCTTATAACAATTTGTGTATCTAATCCCTTTTCACTTATTATGTTTTTCTCTGGTTCGTTCTTTTTACTATTAGTAAGTTTGTTTCTCTTTGTTCATCTTTCTTGCTTTAATGAACTGACGGTGTTTGGACCACCGAATAACAATGGGGTTTCTGCTCCGTCTTCTTTAGAAAGACCTAGCTCTCTTCCGAAGAGAGCTAGGTCTTTCTAAAGAAGACGGAGCAGAAACCGTCTGGACACCGTCTGGAAACCGTTGTGGGACACACATCAGTGATGTGTGTCCCACAATAATTGATTCCAATAAAAGTTTAAAAAGAAAAATAATAGATTGAGAAGTAATTTAATCTTAATACAGCAACGATACAATGGCTATCCAATTCACTCATATACAAGCGACATAGGGAGTTAGACGAGGCGGCTCATATGCGAAAATTAGATCCTTTGTTACAGCACTTCAGGAGAAAGCAAAAGATGTCGCTGAAAGAGAGCGCTATGTCCGGAGAAGCTCATATGTGAAAATCTTTTATCGCGAGAAGCTATCAACCAAATTTTTTCAAATTGTGATTGAAAGAACTCTTATTGATGGTGATTTCGACATCTAAATTAACTAGTTTAACCAATGAAAAGATAGAGGAAAAAACGCGTTATTATTTTCTGGCAACTAACATTTTATCATTCAAATGAACTTGATCTGTTTCAAAAATGTGTTTCACAGTTGCTGTGCTGACAGTTAAATGATTAAGTTCTATGGAAGATTAGCAGTATGATTTGGGGATTCATTGATCTTTACTAGTGATGCACTAAAAAACAAACTTCTGCTACAGCTGAAATTAATATAAAAGTTTGATGGGTGTGGTGTATCCCTAACCTTTACCATTCTGTTGAATTTTTTTGAGTTTGACTGTTCTGTAATTGTGTACTCATTATTTTCTGCTTGTAAAAATATGTTCCCCGAATTTAATGTTAAATTTAGCAACATCTTCTGTACTCTTATCCAATGAGCTTATACTCTGCTTCCAAATGAGCACTTATCGCATTACGTTTTTGTCGTTTTTCACTTCTACCAAGTCGACGTCTTAATTCAGATTTGATTTTCAAGGAGATATAGACTAAAGAAAAAGCAGATTTTTACCGATATTTGATCAATTAAGATTTTTGAAATTACCAAGGTTCTGTAATTCTTTTTAAGTAATTACCAACTCGTCATAAAAATTTGCAAGTTAACAAGAACCCAGCTACAAGTACATTCGCCACAGAATACACTTAAGTTCATGGTGATCAAAGCATTCAGTTTACGATTTTAATACAGTTGTAATTACGAACTGATCTTTGCGCAATTTATTTCATTTTAATGGGCAAATACATAACGATACATCATCTGTCTTTATGTATGCTTAATCTCATAAGTTAACACTTTTGGAGTCTGTATAATAAAAGTTTACTAGAGATTAGTAAAAATCGTTTCCAGACGACGTGTATTATCTGATATATAAAAGACAGGAGCCCACTGCATTTTGTTTTCGAAAACTCATGCTCGAAAGGCGTAGATTTGGTAGAGGAAACATGATTCTGAAAACGTTTATGTATTTCTTGTATATTCAATTATGCCACACTGTAACAATTTGTTCCGAAACCCATTTTGTATGATTATTTTTCACGAAGAGTGAAACAAAAGTTTAATGTCTTTTTTGCTATAGTTGTTGAATTCCATGCCATTTCTATCATCGCCTCACCGAACAATTCATTCTTTGTTGCTGTAGATAAAAGTATTAGAAAATGCCGATTAAAAAAGCATTGATTTCGCAAGAAGAAAAAGTTTTGGTATGATGATGCAAAAGCGTCTTCTATTTTCATTTCATCCGTATCTTATTTGCTTTATTATTTAGTGGCTACAATTTTATCAAAAAATTTTAACTCGTGATGGTTTAGAAAGTTTAGTCGATTCAACCGGTGCTATAACAGAATTAGTATTTCTTCCAAATCTTACATTTGCTATGATATCAACAATTTTACATAAACTACAATATTTGCCAGAAGATTGTTTCATTACATTGCCAATTGAAGGTAAGTAGACGACTCGAAAAGAATGTAGCGTAAGTAAATCGTATGTACTATTATTTTATAGATAAAGTAATTAGTTCATTGGTCCGAGCTGCAGTTCCAAAACTTGAAAAAACATTTGAATTTATCTCTGCTATTGTTGATGGCGTTCGAAAGAGACAAGTACATTCATTTGCTGTTACTTGATTTGATTTGCTATTTTCTATTATATAAAATTTTAGATTTTGAGTGTAGCAATGATCTTTCACAAAAGAGATGATATCAACACAGTAAGTGAAAACAAAGTCATTCAATCCTAGTTTTTTTTTTGCAATACAAATTTCTAGAAAAAAGAATACTTTCCCTTAAAAAGTACCTAGCAGCAAGATTCTGTCAAATTATTCGTTATTCATGCTTCAGATTTATGATTCATATGAATTTGTTTATGATTATGAAAAACAAGTGGGTCGTTTGACCTCAACATCGATTGAAACTTTAGAACACTTGTTTTATCAACTTGAAAACAAATTTAGTTGGACAGAAAAGGTGCCAAATGATGTCGAATTGTCATTTATACTACAAGTTTATGATCATTGTAAGAGTACTCTGTGGTAGCACGGCACAAATTATTTTTTCGTATTTTATATTTTAGTTCAAAATAATGAAAGTTTAGTTCCTACGCCATTTAAATTTATCAGTTCAAACACGAATCAAGTCTATAAAAATTATCCATCATCGTCAATTCTGGGTGTTTTAAAAAGTACAAATGGAGAAATTCAATTTAAATTTGCGCCACCAGTAAGGAGAAAATCTCATGGGTAGATCAATTAATTTATTTTATCATTTTTAGACTAAAGAAGCATATAGTGAAGATGAAACATCAATGGATATACAAAAACCAACGAAAGAAAAACAAGTACTAGCCGCTGGTGAGATTTTACTCAATGATGCTCTTCGTGTAAGAGATAGCTGATTTTAGTGACCACTCATATTTGGATTGCGGAAAAATCTGTTTTTATGATTATAAAGTAGTGTGTAATTTGGTGCATGCATTCGTCATATGCAAATATAGTTTAGTCTGAGATCTGCATGTCTTCTAAAAATACCTCACTGGTGAGAAGCAGTTGAATATTTTTCGTTTAGAAATAGCAATTCAAACGGCAGTTGCTCGCGGTAATGAAACAATCACTGATTTGTCGACAGACATTGCTGCTGCCTATGTGAAAACAAGTACACCAAAACCAAGTGAGACGGCCTCCAAAAATATTCGAGGTATAATAACACCAGCACTTCGCGATTTATCAACAATTCGGGCTACACCCTCAATAATTGAGACGACCCCAACAAGAAAACAAACACTTCGTGGTGCGGCGACTGTTCCTCAAACAATAATTGCATCGGAAATTGATATTCCTGGTACACGAAAAGTTTTCGTAGCAAGTACACCCAAAGCAGGTGAAACACACTCAAAAATAATGATAGGTAATTTGCGTTCATGTTGTTTCTAATGGCCTGAACTATTCAGAAACTGACATGTCGAGTATGAAAGGAAGAGGAAAGAAGACAGTTAGTTTTTTCAAAAAAGAATGCTCAACTGGAAAAAGTTGAATGCACTCTGCTGCTGAAGTATGACATTATTGGCTCTGTGATGGATTATTGATTTCGAACAAGACTACTTATTTAGACGGTCGACAAACGTCATCATCTCGTCTGCAAAATTTGTCAACAATTCGTGCTTCACCATCTGTTAAAGCGACGTCCACTAAAATCACAAATACTCCTATTCCTAGTGGTGCGACAGCTCGAAAACAAACTGTTCGTGGACAAGCAGTAGCACATCCAAAAACTGATTATGAAGATGATGTTGACGAGGAGCAAGACGAATTACTTGGTCATAATACGGAACAAATAAGAGTACAAAAATTAAAAGTATTCAAAACACCGAAAAAACAAGACGAAGGCGAAGATTTGACATCAGTAAGTTTTTGAATTATTGAAAAACGAAAACTTTTTTAAATTTTAATTTAGACGGTAATATCATCAATATCGCAGGTTTCAATTTCAACACCACCTACGGGCAGAAAACGTCGAACGGATAGTTCACACGGTAACAGTTGCAAACTTTAAGAAATTTGAAAATTCTTATTAATATATATTTTTTGTTTCTTTTGATGACGGTGTCTCTCTAAAAACAAGAAGATATGTCCTTCTAAACATTTCTTTCCTCTTATATGTTTGATATTTTGCTCGAAAACTGAGATTACTGTCTGATATATATGAGTCTCCTACTCCGTGAAAATCACACTATAACTCTACTTTAGAATCTTCATCACCCAAAACCCCTCGAACAACAAGAAGAAATGTCTTGTCAAGCAAAAATGACGATAACACAGTTCCGGTAAACTCAAATTTGTTAAGTATAGTAGTAAGAGAATAACTTTTTTTTCTAGATTACATTATCTCCAATGTTAACTCGTAGTACAACGAAAAAACTGGCAGCATTAGAAATAAAGAGCGATAAAACAGATGATGGTAAATAGCTAACAGTTTGCAAAAACTATCATCTTTAATTTCTCTTCTAGTTTTATCTCGTAAAAAATTGAATTTCGACGAATCAACATTGTCTACACAATCGGTAAGTATCATACGTTCTCATTCGATATATATCTAAATTTTCTTGAATTCTACATGATTATGTTTTTACTTGTGTTTTGAGACATATAGAAAATGAGTTCTGAATATTTGATTGATCGTTAGAGACAATATATGAAAAAAGTGTTTTTCAACATAGATCCTATGTGTTTTGTTGTTTTCTGATTATGCAGATTTCTTTGCTTTTCATTTTAGAAACACTCGTCATCTCGTCCAAAAAAACAATCCGTTAGCGAAAAACATTTATCATTCGGTGGGTAGGCAATACATAGAGCTAAGCTAATTTTTCTTTTTTCTAGATTAGCGCTATTGATAATCGGCAATTCATTTCAATTTAATGAAATTCAATATTATGAAAATGAAATAGTGTCTTATTAGTATAGACCTACACTGTATGCGTTCTTTAGTTTTACTTTTTTGTAAGCGAAATGCGTTGTTGACTAATTAGACTTATGAAATAAATGAAGGAAACAAGATTTTTCTTATAAAATATCAAATCTGTTAAAAAACTGTCAATTTTAAACGCGTATAACTCGATCACGATGTTTGACCTACGAGGGAAAGACCCTACGTTGCAAATCGTTTTTTCGATAAAACTAAGTAGACTATATGTAATTAATGATGCTAATTCCAAATATGAACATCGGAGTTGCTCTTAGGCTTTTATTGACAAGTTTTCTGAAAATTGAACCTGCAGAAAACCAAAAGAAGAGAAAAATTCGGAGAAGAAAAGTTTTTCTGAATGCGCCATTTTGTAGAGGACACAAAACTGTCTATGTTCCATAAATTTTTGTTTTTCAAAACAAAAATCAACAACGTAGGAAAATTTCTGGTTTTGATAGAAAAATGCAGAGCTGGGCAAGTCAAGTCATCTTTGACTTGGTAAATTTTTCCATGACTCAACTTGACTTGACTTGGAGATTTTTTGAAAAGACTTGGCTTGACTTGTGACTTGGCCTGAAAAATCAAGCCAAGTCATCAACTAAGAAAATCAGGTTTTTGTGGCGAAGTTTTGGATAAAAAATACATGTCGGGGATTTTAATCCAGTATTAGATAAAAGTGCACTTCCACCGAAAAACTATGGCTTTATAAGTGATTTTGGACATTCTCCAAAAGTAATTATGAAGACTAAATCGCAGAAAAATCCATTCTTTATCACTACAGTAGGCGAGTACTCAAGATTCCGCGCTTACTGTAATGACTATAAAGAAAGGTGAAGTCCGCATAAGAACGGAAATCGGCCCACTAACAATAATCGGTCCATACCTCATCAAAATCACATCCAATTATGATATTCGATGATTTCGACCCTTCCGACCGCTTTTAGTCGAATATACCCAACAGAATCCACTCGAAAAGGAGCGATGATTTAGCACCCAC